GTCAGCTCCTGGGTGGGGCAGGGCCTCTGTGGGGGAGGGGCTCACACAGGCTGAGGGGGGGCTGCAGCTCTCTTGTGCGAGTTGGGGGAGGGGCACCGCTGGGCTGGGGGAGGGGCTGTGACCCCCCCTTCCTGTGCTGCCTGTGGGGGGCTGTTCCAGCCAGGCAGGGGCCTCAGGCCGCTCGCTGCTGCCCCCTCTGTGGTTGAATGTTGCACGTTCACCGCAGGGCCCGTCGGCCCGTCTGTCTCTGGCTGTTGGTGCTTCCAGGCGCTCACGCTCAACGCAAGCCGAGAGGCCGAAGATTGTGGTTGAGTTTCAGCAGTTGCGGCAGTTCCTGGAGGAACAAGAGCAACTCCTGCTGGCCCCTCTGGAGAAGCTGGGAGGGGAAGTGTCAGAAGCCATCAAGTGAATTCCTGCAGGTGAGACTGAGGGAGAAACATCCCAGCTCCCCACACAGGGAAAGGAGGCTCCTAAATAACAAGTGCTGGGGTCTAGCCGTCAGATCTGGGTGTAACTTGGCGTGTGCATTGCTGCCATGCGAGTGACTCGTGTGCTTTGCAGAGTCACAGGCACAGACCTGTTGGAGATGGCAAAGCCCCATTAGCTCATGGACTCTATGGCCCTGGGGCCAGGTCAGGGTGTCTCTTCCCCATATTTGCAAATTGCCTTCCCTGTGTGTGTCCAGTGCAGCTGAGATTCTTTTCTGTCTCTTTTCTCTAGCAGGTACGTGGAATTCTCTCTCTCTGCCCTCTCACTGCACAGCGCAGGGAAAGGGCTTGGAGCTGATGCTGGCACCACATCTCCCCAGGGCTCTACAGCCAGATGTTGGATAGAAATGTCTCTGACTCACTTAATTCTGAGGGTCTCACCCTTGCACAGCAGACTCTGGAATTCCCCATTCAGGGGCACAGTCTGACTTCAGATATTTCCTAGAGCTGTCACCTAACTAGGGACTGTCTGCCTCAGGACTGTGGAGCTGGAATGTGGGTCTGTCACTACTGGGCACATTCAGCCCAGGGCAGCAGAGACCCAGAGTCTGTCCTACCTGAGGGCTGTTGGGAGACTTGTGTGGAAGGAGCAGGGGAAGGAGGATCTGGTGTCTGTCTGCTTCCTAGTTGGCAGCCCTTCACCTGAGTACATCCTGTCTCTCATCGCCTGGAGGCCAAAGAGAGACTTGGCCATTGAAACTCAATTCCACTTTTGTCCCCAGCTGGTCTCTCGGGGCTAGAGGTGAAGAACAGCAATGGGACCTTTCAGGGGAAGGTTGCACAGCCATGGGCTGTGTTGCCCCTGCTTTCAGGCTGGGGGAATTCAAGGAATTCTAACTCCAGGCCTGTTAGAGCTGAGACGTCCTAGCCAAATCGTATCATCTGTAAATGAAATAGAATCACATGGAATTGTTTCTGTCCAGGTATGAGACGGGAGCTTTCGGACAAGGTGATTATTTCAGGTGGAGATTCTATAAATGAGAAAATTCCTGTTAAACATCTTCAAGGGATTGTCATTAAAGTTACCAACCAAACCCAGCGACCACGGTGCACACAGCCCTAAATCTCACTCACTGATCAGTGAGGAGTCCCAGGGGCACTGCATGGGGACCTGTGAACACTTGGAGAAACACTGGTCTATGGGCTTGTGATGCTATAGGGGTGAAGCTAAAGCACACAACGGACAGCACCTTCAGGCTCAGATTTCATTGCTCAGTCAGTTTCAATATGGGGTTGGTTTCAAACAATAAATAGGCTAAAAGGCTGAGAGCTGACTGGCTTCCATGGTATCAATTTGTTCATGGCGAGAAACTGCCAGATACGCAAGGGCTCTTCGGTCTAGTGCAGGCCTGAGCAAAATACAGCCCATGGGCCAGATCCAGGTAGCCAGGCCATCTGATCCAGCCCATTGATGCTTGGCGAGCAATGGGCTACTTCCGTACTTGCCACTTCCCACCTGCAAGCCACTCAGAAAGTGAAAGTGAGCCTGGAGGTGAGGGGGGAAGGCTTCAGGCACTGCTTCCACCTCCAGGACAACTCATTGGCGGGTTTCTGGCCAGAAAGAAAGTACCGTGCCCCCTTCCCTCTGGCTCATAGTTATTCACACACACACATGGCCCCGCAGCCTGTGCAAGGGTTGGGCAGGCTCCTTACCTGCCTCAGAGAGGTGCTTGGCTGCTGGCCGGGAGTCACTCCGGTAAGTCTCCTGGCCAGAGCTTGCTCTGGCACCCCAACCTCTCTCTTCCCCTCCTAATTCTCTGCCTCCTACTCCTGCCTCCCACTCCACAAACCAAAACTCTTTCTCTTCCTGCATCCTCGTATGCAAGAAGCTCTTCATGGTGAGAAACCCTCAGCCCCTTATTTGTCCACTCAGCCACTTCTCTAAATTAACCTTACTTTAAATATCTCATGAGTAGTTGGCTAATCCAGTGCCCCAGATCACACCTGCTTCCTTCACCCAAACTCCTTCCCAGACCCCTTTTTCCCTCCTGCATTCCAAAGCCTCTCTCAAAGCTCCCTTCTTCTCCCAGTGTCCATCTCATACGCTGTATTTCCTGGTTAATGTCTTGGAAGAGTGCAGCTCTCAACCACTTTCCAAAATCTTGGAGTCTCTCCCCTCCCCCCCCATCAAATGAATTGCCCACCCCTGGTCTAGTGGATACAGTTCAGTGAGAGTTAATAACTGAAAGCTGCAGCTGGACAATTTCAGGCTAGAGAGGAGGCACAAATGTTTGATGGGTAAGAGAATTAGCTGCTGAAACAAATGAGCAAAGAACTGATGGATTCTCCATCTCTTGATGTCTTCATATCAACACTGGACGACTTTCTAGAAAATATGCTGTGGGGAAACAGAACTTTGTGCCTAAGTAGCTCGGATAGGTGTAATGGCTTATGCCACAGAGGGGACAGACTGCATGGCTAAGGATATTTTGTGATGCCATGAATCCATTAATTTTAAGGTCTTATCCTGAAAACATTCAGCACACGTGTTTAATAATATGTATATGAATACTCATATTAACTTCACTTCCTCTCTGTTATGGAAGTCTGTGTCAGAGGAGAGAATCAAAGTTTGGGCTGCAAATCAATGCATGAAGACTAAGGGATTATAAATATTCCACCGCCCATTCTCCCAGAACAACTTCCCACGAGGCCAAGAAAAGTACAATAGCACAAAGACCTAGTTTGCATATAATGGATCATTTTTGCTAGATGCTTTTCTTTTCATAAGGCTGTGAGACTAAAGATATGAAACAGGCCACAACGTCATGAGCCGTATCTTGGACTACTCAAGTTATATAAGCATGTGGTCTACATCTGGAGGCAGGAATCAACTGAATCCCATTGTTGCAGGCAAAGCAATGTAACTCAAGACAGGTATTGAGAGAAATAAATACGGCTTTTGGATCTAACTTGTGTGTGGTGTTTATGGAATATCTAGACTCAGCGTAGAGTCCAGCATGTTTTTCACCAGGGACAGAGTCTGGGCAGAATTGGGGTGTGGAACAGGCTGCAGAACACCCATGTCTGACTCCAGCTTAGCCCCTGGCCTGCAGGGCCAGGGACAGGAAATGGCCGTGGCGAAGCCAGTGAGCTTCCAGGAGGTGGCTGTGTATTTCTCTGAGGAGGAATGGGCTCTGCTGGCCCCGGGCCAGAGAGCCCTCTACTGGGATGCGATGCAGGAGAATTACGAGGCTGTGAGCTGGCTGGGTGAGGATTCCTATCCCTTTGTGTAACAGAAGCTGGGTGGGCTCTGGAGCAGTTGGGTTGGGTTTGGTTTGGTTCAGGGTCCCTCAATGCCCGAACCCCCTATATCAGCAGTATGTGCCCCAGTAATCCTGGCTCCTGTGTGAGAGGAGGTTCAGTGACATAATACTGGTGCTTCTCTTCCCACAGCCAAGGTCTCATTGTGGTTCCCACCATCTTGCCCATGTTGTGCCTTGGCCAGAGGCATCAGTGGAAGGGCCCAGGCAGGAACAGCAGGTACCAGAGTAGTGGAGCTGGGTGTAGCTGCTATTAGCATCTGCAGAGTCCCCTTCTGCTATTGTGCTGAGTCCCTGGAAGGAAGGCACCAACTCAGAGTCCTTCTCTGCTTCTGGTTGATTCTGTGCAAGCCAGAGGGGCGCCAAACAGCAGGCCCGTCTGGCCACAAGAGGAGGGCTGCTGCTGCTGGCAGAGTAGATCTAAAGTTGTAGAAGGGGAACTGAGCTGCAGGAGCATTTACGAGCAGCAGAGAAGCAGCCCATCCACCTTGGCTGGCCACAGGAACATCCTGGCACTGCCCTGGCTGTCTGCAGGACTGATAGCTGTTCTGGGCAGCAGACAGGGCCCACGCAGGCACAGTCAGTCAGTATCAGGAGTGTGGCGCATAGGCAGGGCCTGAAGTGCATAGGCAGGGCCTGCAGTGCCCAGCCAAGGATTCATTTTCCTTATCAGACAACTTCCCCTGCCTCCATCTGGCTCAAGGAGAGCACCTGAGCCCAAGAGCAGGGCAAGTCCATCCCCCAGCCAAGAGCTTTGTGGACAGAGCCCATAGGGCTCTAGAGTTCTGCTGGGTCCTTTCCCTCCCTGCCCTAGTGACCTCACATGTGGCAGCTTAAATATGAGTCCTGGCTAGGGGTGTCTGTCAGTCCTGAGCAGCCTAGAGCTCTCCCCTTATGAGCAGTGTGTTCTTGTCCTGCCCAAGTATGCAACAGGCCCTAACGGAGATTGAGTTGTATCCTGGAGAGTGAAGCAGAGCGCTCAGTTCCCCATGGGAGTCAGCTGGGCTATTTCCAACATGTTAGTGGGAGGAAGGGAGAATTAGTATGTCCTGGTATCTTGTACCAGCCAGAGACCAGTGTCTGGAAGGCTGAGAAGCCTTTCTGGGTAGGAAACTCAGATCCTGGCTTTGGCAGCAGCAATGGCACAGACCTTAATGAACAAGATCAGCATTTGGTTAATTTCTCCCCCAATAGGATTTCCAGTCCCCAAAGCTCATGTGCTTTCCTGGGTGGAGCAAAGGGAAGAGCTGCAGACCCTGGATATCCAAGGCTGTGAGGAAGGGGAGATCATCAGTGACACCCACGCAGGTGAGAAATCAGCTAAACTGACTCAAACCAATTTCTGTGTTCTCATAGCAGGTGTTGGTTGTGTGTTTTCATCAAGTCTTACTGGCCCTTCAGCCTGTCTTCAACTCCAGTCTGAGAGAGCTGTGTGGGGAAAGACTGATGGGGGAGCAGGGTGAACTCAGCTCATGATTATTGTATCTTTCCAGCCATTTTTCTGTTCACCATTCAGAATTTTTCTTTCAGCTCAGCACAGGGAATGTCTCCTGTGTGGTTTCTCTTTCTATCCCAGCAGGTGATAAGATGCTGAATGAGAACAGTGAGAGGAGTCTTCAGGAGGAAGGACCTGAGCAAATGGCTGCATGTGGGGTGTTAGTGGGAAGATCTGAAGAGCATGTTTCTCACAATTTCTGTTCATCATTCAGAATTTTTCTTTCAACTCAGCACAGAGAATGACTCCTGTGTGGTTTCTCTTTCTATCCCAGCAGGTGATGAGATGCTGAATGAGAACAGTGAGAGGAGTCTTCAGGAGGAAGGACCTGAGCGAATGGCTCCATGTGGGATTTTAGTGGGAAGATTTGAAGGGTATGTTTCTCAGAGTCCTGAGCAAGGAGAGACTTGTGACAGACAGTGTAGCCTACAAAGGCAGCAGGGAAACCATCCTGGAGCAGGACAGGATAAATCCAGTGACAGGAGCAGAAGGTTGAAAACAAATACAGAAACTGTTCAAACAAAAATCCTCCATCAACATTCACCTTGTTCTTGCAGTGACTGTTTAGCTCTTATTAAACATGAAAGAGCCCAAGCAGGAAGGAAACCCATTAGCTGCTCTGACTGTGGGAAAAGCTTCAGTCGGAGGTCAAACCTTGTTAGCCATAGGAGAACCCACACAGGAGAGAAACCCTTCAGCTGCTCTGAGTGTGGGAAAAGCTTCAGTGACAGGTCATACTTTGTTAGGCATAGGAGAGACCACACAACTTCAATTATAGGTCAGATCTTGTTAGACATAGGAGAACCCACACAGGGTAAAAACCCTTCAGCTGCTCTCACTGTGGGAAAAGCTTCAGTCAGAGGTTGCACTTGGTTAGATATAGGAAAACCCACATGCAAGAAACCATTCAGTTGTTCTGACTATAGGAAATACTGCAGTCAGAAGTCAGTTTGTTATCAATAAGAGAACTCTCACAAGACTGAAATCCTTCAACTGCTCTGACTTTGGGAAATGTTATTGCAAGATTTCAAGCCAAAACCCTTCAGCTGCTCTCACTGTGGGAAAAGCTTCAGTCAGAGGTTGCACTTGGTTAGATATAGGAAAACCCACATGCAAGAAACCATTCAGTTGTTCTGACTATAGGAAATACTGCAGTCAGAAGTCAGTTTGTTATCAATAAGAGAACTCTCACAAGACTGAAATCCTTCAACTGCTCTGACTTTGGGAAATGTTATTGCAAGATTTCAAGCCTTGAAGCCACACATGTGAGAAACCCTATAGTGGTGGTGAGCAAAATTTTCTCTGTTGGCACAATCTAGCCTGCCTAAGGCTTTGATTCTGTCCACAAGGTAATGCCAGGCCCCACCTCCAAATGAGCATGTGCTGAGGGGGAGGGAGCTTAGTCCCACTCCCTCTTCATGTTGTGTAGCTTCTAGAGAGGAGGCAGCACTAGGCTGAGTCTTTGCCACACAACCTGAGGCTGGCATTAGAGGCACTGCTGGCCTCCAGGGCTACATGGCCATGTCAGGGGTGCCTCTGCATGGCTGCAGCAATAGCACCTCTGGCCCTGGACTGAATGGGTGCAGCAGTGGTGCCTCTGGTGTCCGGGGCTGGTCCTGGTCTGTGTGGTTGCTGCTGCAACAGCAGAGCCTCCCTCCAGGGTGACCAGGACTGTGGCTGCAGATGTTGCTGCAAAGGGACCCAAAGCCAGGTAATATTTGCTTTCCACTCCAGACACTCCCTTCCAATCTCCTCAATTCCCTTTCCCCTGGGAGCCAGCACCCCCAGATTGGAGTGACACCCTCCTTTTTTCTTGCATCCTCTCTCCTGGCCCCACAATGCACCCTCCCCCTGGCCAGATAGCTGCCTGCTTCTGCATCCCAGATCCTTCCTCCAAACCCCAACCCTTTCTTGAGCCCCCTGTTACATTATTGGATTTTAAGGTGAGCATACAGATCACTTGTTGTCATGGGGAACTGTTTGCCTCAAATTTGGTTCAAAGTGGGCCATGTGAGGTATCAAATGAAAGCTGATATTGTGTTGATTCTATGTATGGTATTCATGTACTCTGTTGGAGTTTTTATGGGAAGTTATGACTATGGGGTCTGTTGATGCTGTGTATGGACTGCCTGTCATGGGGAAAGAATGTCCAATGAGTGACTATGCTAATCAGTATGGATCCAAGGACAATGGCTCTCCGGGTGGCCAATACACAGCTGAGGAATGCATGTGGTAAGCTGCAAAGCAGCCAGGTTACAATGGCTGCTGGCATATGAAACAGGTCACTTGACCATGTGACTAGGTCCAGCTTGGGAGACACCAGGAATGAATATCAAACACCATGAGGGGGGCTCCATCTTGTCTTCAGTCTCGCTACTTATCCCAGATGAAGCCTTGCTAAGGACAGAGACAAGGGGAATGAGTGCTGACCCATCCTGGTATATGATGTACTCCAAAGACTTTTATGCTAGCAGTTTGTAACATCTCCACTAAGATCCTGTATCAAGAATTTGCCGATTGATGTATATAATGTATTCTCCTGCTGCTATCATATCCCCCCTCACTCTTCGCTTCTCCAGACTAAACAGACCCAACTCCCTCAGCCTCTCCTCATAGGTCATATGCTCCCTCCGGAAAAGGGCACTTTTTCCGGAGGATCGGGGCCAGTCTAGACGCTCTTTTCCGGCTTTTTTAAAAGCCGGAAAAAAGCGGCGGACATTTTTATTTAAATGCCGCGGGGGATATTTAAATCCCCGGCGGATTTCCGTACGACGACTAGTGAAATTTACATGCCCCTTCCGGAAAAGGGGCCAGTGTAGACGTAGCCCATGAGGGGGGCTCCATCTTGTCTTCAGTCTTGCTACTTATCCCAGATGAAGCCTTGCTAAGGAGAGAGACAAGGGGAATGAGTGCTGACCCATCCTGGTATACGATGTACACCAAAGACTTTTATGCTAGCAGTTTGTAACATCTCCGCTAGGATTCTGCATCAAGAATTTGCTTATTGATGTATATAATGTATTCTCCTTAACAACCTTACTCTCAACCTTTTCTTTCTTTTATTAATAAACCTTTAGATTCTAAAGGATTGGTCTGCTGTAATCTTGTGGGTAAGATCTAAAGTATAAATTGACCAGAGATTCATCACTGGTTCTTTGGAACTGGGTGGATCTGTTCTGGGTTGGACAGATTGGGCTCTATAACCCCTCACCTGTGTGTAAGACCAGGGCTGATTGCGGCACAGGAAGAGCTGGGGTATCTGAGAGGTTTTACTGATGAGGCTTCCTGTGGGTGGACTGGCAGATAAAGTGCTCTGTATGATTGGTTTGTGGCCTATTTTGGAAAGGTCTCCAGTCAAGGGCTATAAGCAGTCCTGGTTTTGAGCAATTTGACCTGAGTGGATTCTCTCAGCAGTGCCCAGACCCGGCCCGGCCCTCTCCAAACCTGTAGGCTACGTCTACACTGGCATGATTTTCCGGAAATGCTTTTAACGGAAAAGTTTTCCATTAAAAGCATTTTTGGAAAAGAGCGTCTAGATTGGCAGGACACTTTTCCACATAAGCACTTTTTGCAGAAAAGCGTCCGTGGCCAATCTAGACGCGCTTTTCCGCAAAAAAGCCCCGATTGCCATTTTTGCGATCGGGGCTTATTTGCGGAAAACAAATCTCTGCTGTCTACACTGGCCCTTTTGCGCGAAAGTTTTTCGGAAAAAGACTTTTGCCCGAATGGGAGCAACATAGTATTTCTGCAAAAGCACTGACAATCTTACATGAGATCGTCAGTGCTTTTGCGGAAATTCAATTGGCTGGTGTATTCAGCTGGCAAGTTTTTCCGCAAAATCAAATGATTTTGCAGAAAAACTTGCCAGTCTAGACACAGCCCCAGGGCTTCCCATAGGCCAGATTTACTTTCCTGGGGTTCCAGAGTTAGTGGACTTTTTTTTTAACCTGGTGAGCACTAACTTAACCAAAACAAACATTAGATTACACATTCAACAGGTGGGCAGAGGGGAAGTGATTTGATAGGTCTAGCAGTGGAAACATTATGAGCACATAAGCCAATGGACTACAAGGTTACACAGGATCCCTGCCCATCACCAATTAAACATCTTATCAATAATACAGGTAATTATTCCTAACAAGCAAAATGAGCCAACATAAACAGAGGCATGTTGATGGTAACTCTTTTAGCTGGAAATATAATGCATCTACTGCAGGGGTGATATTGCCTTGGGTTAGCGCAGTCTAAGGCCTCAGGCTTATTTTCTAGGAATAAAGTTATTTTCTAGGAATAAAGAAGACAGTGAAAAACAATCCTGCAGAGTTCTTTGGTACCAGCCTTATCAAAGGGAAGCCCACTTGGAATGTGGTTGCCAAGGGAGCCAGGTTCATGGTAGCTACTGTCTGTATGCTTCCCAGGCCTGGCCTAATGATTTAGGATTTGAGTTCTCATTTCTCAGCAAGATACCATGGACTGCCTCAGTTTACCCCTACAGCTCCCTCCTCTTGGGCTTAGGGTTCTTTAACCCACCAGCATAAATACAACAATTTCAGGGGTTTTAATTTACTTTGGAAGCGCTGGTACAGCACCAGTACTATATAAATGTTATAATCAAAACTCGCCACATGATTTGGCAAAACACTACTCAAATCCATCCCCAAGATATTTTGTCACCAGTAAAGGCACTGCCCGTGATTATAGATTTGACCTCTACTTCCTGGTTGAGTGTCTCAGAGTAAGGTGTTATGGCATGGTCCACGGTTTTCCCTATGTGTGTGTACCTCAGACGGCCAATCCTGATATGCCTTTGGGCACCGTCCACCAGCTCCTCAATCTCTGCCTGCAGGACCAGTAAACCCTCCTCTAGGTACTTACTTCCTCCATGCCACTCAGGATCCCAAGTTAGACTACCCGTCATTGCCGAAGTGCTGTAGAGCCAAGTCCTGTGAATGGTCAGGGTTGCCCAGCAAGGGACCGTTATGCACATGAATGGATATGTAGAGGGCACTGCCTTCCATTTAGTTCAATGGAGTGGATTGTCTAGGTGGTCAAACACCAGGGGCTCGTCTACATTGGCCCCTTTTCCGGAAGGGGCACGTTAATTTCAGCGATCGTAATAGGGAAATCCACGGGGGATTTAAATATCCCCCGCGGCATTTAAATAAAAATGTCCGCCACTTTTTTCCGGCTTTTAGAAAAGCCGGAAAAGAGCGTCTACACTGGCCCCGATCCTCCGGAAAAAGCGCCCTTTTCTGGAGGATCTTATTCCTACTTTGATATTTAAATCCCCCGCGGATTTCCCTATTCCAAAGTTAGAAATTAACATGCCCCTTCCGGAGAAGGGGCCAGTGTAGACGTAGCCCAGGGGTTTAGAAAAAGAGTTCATAACACAATACCGTCCATGCTTCACACTCTCTCCCCACCCCCAAGTGGGATTCTGGGGTATAGGGGTTTTTGCTTTTGCTTCTCACACAAAAGGTCCCTGGTTCAAAGCCAGGCAAAAACACAAGGGCTGTGTCTACACTGGCATGAATTTCCGGAAATGCTTAAAACAGAATAGTTTTCGTTATAAGTATTTCTGGAAAAAGAGCGTCTACATTGGCATGCTGCTTTTGCAGAAAAGCCCTTTTTCCGGAAAAGCATCTGTGGCCAATGTAGACGCGCTTTTCCGGAAAAGAGCCCCGATCGTCATTTTCACGATTTGGGGCTTTTTTCTGGAAAAGACTACTGGGCTGTCTACACTGGCCCTTTTCCGGAACAGTGTTCCGGAATAAGGACTTATGCCCTAGCGGGAGCAGAATAGTTTTTCCGAAATAGCGGCTGATTTTGTACAGTAGATCATCGTTGCTTTTCCGGAAATTCAAGGGCCAGTGTAGACAGCTCGCAGCTTATTCCGGAAAAGCAGCTGATTTTCCGGAATAAGTGGCCCAGTGTAGACACAGCCAAGGTCTTCTCTTATTCTTGCTCCCTTTGTTGCCCAGGTAAGCGCAGCACCTTGCTGCCAGGCCTGTGCCTGGGATGAGCCCAAAACTTGCACAAAAATGGCTGCTTTTGCACAAAATCATGCCAATGTAGATATAGCCCAGCATCAAGACCAGAGCAGTGCAAGGAAAACCAGGAATTAAGGAAAAGCCAAGACAATAAAGTGAAATCCCTGTTTCTCTCTACTTTAAAACTAATTTTGAACTTTTTGACAATAGCCAACCACTCAGCCTGTGCTCTCTTCCTCCAGCTTCCCAACAGGAAAGAAGGAACAGTCATCATCAGCAGACAGCAACCACATTAAAGCAATACTGTCTGCTTGCTTCATGCTTGGAAGAGAACACTATCACTCATCCTCATGGTTAGCAAAACCAACCCCTTTCAACTGCCTTTCTCTAGTTACCAACTAGAGAAATGATCCCTGAAAGTACAATCATAACAGGCCTCGCTTCCTACACACCCACACTCATGTGCATTCACTTTCTCCTCATGGGGAATGTTTTCACACAACACTTAGAAAAGTAAAGAACAGAAATAATCTTAGCAAAGTGCTTGTCCCATTCAAACACACTCCACCAGATTTAGGAATAGGCATATTAAAATATGCTCCGTGTCCCTTTTTACAGCACTAGGCCTCCTGATTAGCATGTGGAGCACCTGGCAGCCAATCAAAATCTGATGTTTCTTCCTGAAATTGCAGTTCCTGGGGCTTCACTAAGTCGGAGGTAACAAACTGACAGTCTGTGGACCAGCAAAGGACCAAGAACCCCTGCCTGCCAGGCAGAGGTGGAAAGTAACTAAGTGGAAATACTTGATTACACTACTCAAGACCTTTTTTGGGTATTTGTACTTTACCAAGTAATTTATTTTTGTCACACTTTGACTTTTATTCAATTTATTTTTTTTCAGAAAATATTGTACTTTTTACTCCACTGCTATTTCCAGAAGCATTGGGTTAACTTGTCATTCAAACCCAGTATCCCTGCAGGCCCTGCCAGCCTGAGACCTGAGCGAGCAGGGCGGCTGTCCAGGGCTCCATGCTGAGGGGGATGCATATGAGTAGTGTCATGTGACATTACCTGGGGCCAGGCAGCTAAACAGGAGGGAACCCAGCAGCCAGGGTCAGGGAGGGCAGAGGCACTTACTTGTGTCAGGTGAATCCTCTGTTCTGGTGGAAGCAGCAGGGTGGGTGGGTGCCTGGGTCAGGGGCTCCCCATTCTCCGTGGGACAGAGGCCCCTGTAGAAGCCCA